AGTAATTTCACTTTATTTCTTGAAAATTTTCTTCTTTCTTCACGTAAAGTTGGAGATTCAACCTTATCAGATTTTCGCAGGACAGCGATGTTTACGTGATGATAACGGGTGATTAGGTTTAGGGCTAATTAAAGATCAATACTTTTTTACTTGGAATTCTTCCACATTTTGATATAAAAAATATAGTATTCCATTTAAAAAAACAAAGAAGAAGACCTTCAAATCTTCGAAACGCCTCCAAAAAAAAAAAAAAAAAAAAAAAAAAATGCACTACACAAGTGCACCTCTTTAAACCATGCAACTTTTGTATACAAAATTTTTTTGTGCAACGCACAGTTTGGAAGTCACAAGAGGTGCACAAGTTGCGTGGACCACCCTGTATATACAGTACCTAGCGCGCGAGACAGTCGCATTCAGCCGCAGGAACACGCCTTGCGAATAGCTCGCCATGGTGTGGCACTATGATGTGGTCTGGTGTGGTCTGGCGTGGCGCGAGCCATTCGTTCCACAAATTCATTCCACCTAACACGTATGTGTGCACATTGTGCAATTCTATATATACAATACAGTGCATTATTGAAATGCCACCTCTCCGCGGGCAAGAGTTACGATCGTCAGTGACCAAAAATAACTGTCCGATAAAAATTTTTTATGAAAAAAAAAAAAACAAAAATCGGCGACTGAAACATGTTTGTTTTATTTTTCGTTGAGGATATTAAAAGTTTTTGCTAAAATTTGATACGTTTCAGTTGCAAATAACAATTACAAGCGACTGGAAATGTTTTGCTCCGCTGATAATCATTATCGACGAGGGGAATTCCATCTCAGTTGTTTACAATAGTTATCGACGAGAGAGAAATTTATTTCAATTGTTCTTGGTTATCGACAGTCATCGATGACAGAAATTATATTTCAATTGCTCGTAAACAATTTATATTGACCAAAACCAATAAAAACAATTGATATCAACCAAAACCAATAAAATTCATACCAAATTTCAATTTCAATGTATAATTTTAATTATATAAACAAGAAAGTTCTAACTACTAGAAACTCGTGTAATATTAATTGAACATAACCGAAACAATATTTTCGTTGTCTGTAATTATTGTACGCGATTGAAATATAATTTTCTTTATCGACAACTGGTTACCGAAATTTCCTTTACTTATAATTGTTATGAAGCAACTATAATTAATTTTCGGTAGTTATGAAGTGCGAATAATATAACACTGTTATAACTATTATCATAGTTAAAACATTTCAATTGAAAAAGTAATTTTTTCATTTCGGTTGTAACAGTTATAGCCCTTCGTTTTATCTACAGTACAATTTCTAAAGTATGTATGTAAGTATGCAATCTTATAATCTTAAAAAATCGAAGATTTTGTTTTGTCTCAATAGAGTCTCTGTATTTTGTCAAGAAAAGTACTTGAAGCAAAAAACGAAAGAGAAGAACAGGAAGCAAAGAAACATTTTCCAAAAATATTCGCTTCGATCAAGCAGTAGAAGAGGAGAATGGAACACTCATTTAAAACCATGCAAAAATCAACAATTATAAATTATTAACTATAAATATACAATTATAAATTATTATAATTAATTATAATTCTATAAGTATATAATTATAATTATAAATTATTGTAATTAATTATAAATTATTAACTATAAATATATTAATTATTAAATATATTTAGTTATTTCACGAACGAAGATGACTATAAATATAAATACATTTAGTTATTTACACGAGTAACATCTACTTTAAACAATCATGTCATTTATCACAATTGACAATTTGATTAAAAAGTCACTGAGAGACTAGATCACCGATTAAAAAATCAACTTGTTCTACTTATTCTACAATCTAATAATTACAAGCACATACTGACAATAAGAGAAATTACTATTCTTTCCTGTGCATAAGTGTTTTTTCACTCTCATGTGACATTTCAGCGTGAGATAAAGAATTGGATCAAACGTCAAAGATTAAGAATACTGTAGTCACCGTTTTCAATTTTTCAATCACAATTTAAGAAAAAGAAAAAGATAGCAGGATAATGTGAAAATTCCACCACCGAAAATCTTTCGAACGCTCTAAACTAAAAAATAATGTGTACGCAGAGGTCTGATCGCAGATTTGTCCTGATTTTGAACACTAATGTTACAACATGATGCACCAACCTATCAAAAGTATTTTGTAATTTTAATTAAATACATAAATATTAAAAAAATAATTAAAATTTAATACATATATACATATATTTTTAATTATATATTAATTAAAGTTTAATATACAAAATAGATAAAAAAATATTGAATGCAATTGCATTATTATTTCATAATTCAATCAAGTATATTAATGTAAAAAAATAATTCTATTAAACAATATTTATACACTTGAATTAAAGTATAATTAAAATTAACATCTTTCAATTAAATATATAGAAAATTAATATACATATGTTACATTGAGTAGTTATTATAATTATATTAGTAGTTATTATAATTATATTTAATAACATCCAATATATTGATACTATTACAAGCTGTTAATGCAAAAGATATTACAAACAGAATCATTCACATACGTACGAACGATAAAAAGCATTAGAGGAATTTAATGTAATAGCATTCGTAACGCGATTAAAATGCTAGAGCTGCAATGGGCAACAGCAATTTGTCGAATTGCAATTTTCAATTGCAATAAATAATCAGGTTGGAATGAAAAACAAGAAAGAAAATGGAACGGAATTGATTAAGCGCGTGTAAGGGGTTGCGCATTTTGTGTCTGCATAATGTGTGTCGGTCAGTGAAGGGGAAATTAATTTATGTAGGCGTGCGTAGAAGTATAGTAATTCTTTTCTAAGATATGCCTCCTGGTGTAACCGATGGTGCAAAAGAGTTACAGGCGAATATGGAAATGAAACGAATACGAACTGGTTTTTCATGGCTGTGCAGCAACGTGCGTGCCCCTCTTACTTGCACTAAGAATGCCACACCAACGGATACGTGGGCGTATCGTGCATCGTATCGGTAACAGTCGTATCACGTTAACAGCTAGTTTGTCACTTTACCACCTTCTTCTCTAGGCTAATGCATTTGGGATACTCGAAACCTGTCGAAACCCAAAAAAGCTGTTCGAGTTTCGAGAATTCTTCGTGATTTAGAACTCGGGGGAAAGGGAAACTACGAAATCAACGACGATCAACGAAGGATTCACTTGTAACCTGAATAAAGAATGTTTGAGTTATGTTCGTCGGTGCGAGATATGCTTTGTAAATATTTGTGCGATTGATTTTTGTTCTCAAGGACACGAGCATATAAAATCATAATTTTGAAACAACGGTGAAAATCTAAAGAAATTATCAAAAAGATATTTTATTATCGCATAGTAATTGCTGTTACTTCAATTCTGTCCTTTCTTATAAAAGACTACTATGATGAATACTTTCTCAATTTAGATTCAAGTTTGGAACTTGGGAAAATTTACTTTTGAAAAAATTTCTTTCGCACAATATAGTTAGTAACTGATAAATATAAATGTAGGTTTGAGTGCCCCGAAACGAAGTTTCTAGATATAACTTAACCTTGTAAACGACATTACTACTTCCTGTCCAGAAATTGATTAGATAACCTATTCGAGACCGATCACACACCTGGTGTAACGATCATGAATTCATATTGTGAGTTATTACTGAATAACTAATCATGGAAATAAGATCGTTTTTAAGCAAAATGAAAGTTTAAAGGGCTGCTAGCACTCAGCAAAATAAGTCGCGAGGATATTTTGCCTTCAACAGCTGAATTTAATTTTAACCACTTGCGCTGGCAGCTGATTGCGGACCATAACGAGCGACCAAATCGTATACAATGATTCGTCGCTTTCTTTTCGAATTCGTTCGGTAAGATATATCACTGGATAGAAATTATTGAGAAGTAATAAATTTATCATTTGTTTTGCTTGAGTTATGCTTAAATATACTTAAAACTGTGGAAATATTGCAATTTTAGGACAAAAAAATTCTCGACGTGCGAGGTTAAGAGGTTAACCAAGCCATTTGCACTGGCAACTGATTGCGGACCATAACGAGCGACCAAACCGTATACAATGCTTCGTCGCTTTCTTTTCGAATTCGTTCGGTAAGATATATCACTGGATAGAAATTATTGAGAAGTAATAAATTTATCATTTGTTTTGCTTGAGTTATGCTTAAATATACTTAAAACTGTGGAAATATTGCAATTTTAGGACAAAAAAATTCTCGACGTGCGAGGTTAAGAGGTTAACCAAGCCATTTGCGCTGACAACTGATTGCGGACCATAACGAGTGACCAAACCGTATACAATAATAATTCGTCGATTTCTTTTTGAACTCGTTGGTATGATAGAAATTATTGAGAAGTAATAAATTTATTACTTGTTTTGCCTATTTTTGTTTTACTCGAATGTACTTAAAACTGAGGAAATATTACAATTTTGGAACAAAAAATTCTCGACGCGCGTGGCACGTCATTCTAGCGCAAGAGATTTACTATCGTCTGAAAATTACTAAAATATCGAAATATTTAGAAATTCCCGGGATAATTTGCCAACCACTTCGAAAATATCGGAACATCTATAAGAAATGTTGCCTAGAGGACAAAATAACAAAGTACGAAGGAAAAACTGCAGACAATGCCGCAAAGCCACTAATTACTTTTGTTCCGCTTGCGAAAATAATCCTTGGCTTGTGCCTGGGAAAATGTTTCAACAATTACCATAAATAAAAATTGTTTCTAATATTTCTAATAATGTATGATTTTTATAACACGCTTGTTGTTGCTATCATTACCTCTTCGTAATAAAAAAAAAAAATCGGTGTGTCATGACCAGATTTGCACAAAAAATGTTAACTTTCCCAAACACGTTTTCCTTTCTCAATTTTCAAAAAAAAAAAAAAAGTGTTAATTTTCAAATCATGGAGACATTTGCTCTGAAAACAGACTTTCTGGTTTACCTTGTTTCATCGGCGAAAACGAATTTCCTGAGTTTCAAATCTCGTAGCACGACCCCGTACTCGTGGCAGGTGGCTACAGCCCTGGCCGCTTGCCGGAAGAGTCGCCTCGCCTCCGGTTCCCGCAGTCTCCTACGCGCCCTCACGTACGCGTGCAGGTCACCGTGGTGGCCCTCCAGCAGGAGATAGCGCCGACCTCCAGATGCTTCTACCACGCCTGCGACACCGCTCGCTGCCCCGGTGCCTTCCAATCGTAGGTGAGCCTGTAGCAGTGCCTCGCAACCTTTGTCGCCCACGGTCAACGCCTGAAATTTAGAAGTATCGTTTCGTCATTCGCTACACCTTCCTCCGGTACATACTGATTAGGAAATACATACACACGTGCGCATAATCTCGCGAGGAAGGACAAATAATTTTCTGACTTACGCATGTACACTGGGCTGTACGATGGAATTAGTCTCCGCTCAAAAGGCTCGAGACACTTATTTTTAACCTCTTACAGGTTATTTTAATATTAATATTTTCACAGTTTTAAGTATATTTAAGTATAACCCAGGCAAAACAAATGATAATAAATTTCTTACTTAATAATCTCTATCTCCGGTGAGTATCGTACCGACGAGTTCAAAAGGAAAGCGACGGATTATTGTATACGGTTTGGTCACTCGTTATGGTCCGCAATCAGTTGCAAGTGGTTAATATTCGATATTTGTTTTGGATTATCCGTGTATACATAGTTTGTGATACAATATACAGGGTGTCCCATTTTAACATACAAATACAATTATCTCCGTCATTTAAAAAATACATCTAGCATTTTTTTTCTGTTTCGAGAGTGCAATAATTTGGTATACTTATTATTTGTTGCCTCTAGATAAACGCGTGTAGGAGATTACGAAGGTCATTACTATTTTTTCAAGTATAATTATGTAATAGTTCCTGTGGAGTTTCTTTCTTTCTTTTTTTAAATTATTCTTTTTAATCTCAACAGAAATCTAATCTTACTAATTACGAATTATTACAAAAATTTAATTCTTCCAAAAGAAAATCAAACAAATACAGTGAATTAGAATTCTCCTTTGGCTACACTCGATATAAATTCCTCCTTCATTCTGAACGAATTGTCGCGCGCAAAATATAATGACGAAGCAGAGAGGAGGAGCTCTTACACGCAACTTAACCTCTTACACTAGTAACTGGTTCGCGGACCATAACGAGTGACCAAACCATATGTAATAATTCGTCTTTTCTTTTTTTTTTTTAATTAATCGATATATCACTGGGTAGAAATTATTAATAAGTAATAAATTTATTACTTGTTTCGTCTGGATTATCTCTCAATATACTTAAAACTGAGAAAATATTCAAATTTTGGGCCAAATATTTTCGACGTGCGTGGCGCATCACTCCAGCGCAAGAGGTTAAGAAATGACTGGAGCGGTTGTGGTTATGTTTTCAATAACGCGCACAATATCTGCCATTGTACTAGATAATTGTACGTTAGCATTGACCGATTAATACGGATATCCGCAGCGAGCGGACAATACAAATATCCGGATCCCTCGGACACGAACCAACTATACTTTGCTAATGCGCGTTAATTTTCTCCGTCGTTCGACGATATATTTCGTTGATCATCGTTCTCAGCTTGTTAATCCATTTCTAGATAAATTTTATCTGGCGCACATCAGCGTTTAAGTATCGTAAAATGTTTTTTTTTTTTTTCTTTCAAAGTAAATATGATTATTAATATGATTATAATTCATATAACATAATAATTATAATATTATTATAATATGATTATTAATATGAATTTATTTCCTAGTAAATATGATTATTATAGAAATTAAAGAACAATGATGGAACCTCGAATGTACGTGATAAAGAGGACATTATTATTATTATTATTTACGTTGATGATATTTCAATTTAACCATACTGATAATAATAATAATTGTAACAATAACGGAAATATCATCATTAATTTTTTCTAAAAATCTGCAATAAAATTTTTTTTAAAATTTGAATTTGACTGTATTATATTTCCTTTTTATTTTCACTTACCAAATCGACTAACTCTCTTAAAACATGCAGTTGTGCGAAAATTATACTAATAATAACGATTACTCTAAGGATATATTGCATTTTATGAGTCATTAGATGAAATCTAAACTTGTAATAATACATTCTACTTATCTACAATGTACTTTATATGAATTTATATTTTGAACGACTTAATCTATAATTCGATAATTTATGACATAACCTATAATTTTAGAATAAATTCGATGACAAGAAAAATAAACGATGATAAGAGTTAATTATCTTATATAAGAGTCAAATCTTTGTTCATTCATTTAAATTACAACGAGAAAAATATAATATATATTTCTATATTCAACAAAATTATTAAGTTGAATTTTCTTCCTTTTTTTTTCTTCGCACAGTTATTGATCTTCAAAATTAGGATATTCATTATATATCAAATTACCAGTATATCGTCAATCATTATCGCAATATTTTTTAAGAAGTTCATCAACATCAGATAACTTTTCACTGTTCCTTACTCCTTGGTGCATCAGTTCTAATAATAATTTGCATAAATGCGACGTTTTTTTCCCTTTTGCGTGCTCTTTGCCGCGTATTCTCCGAAATCATTAATACTTGGAATGCTTGACGTAAATACGTTTTGATAAATTGACTTTGAGACGTCAAACATATGAGATGGCGATTTAAATGCTTTTGTGTTTATCATTTTTGCAGTCAATTATGATTGATGAGAGTTTCACGTTTACTAAAAATATTTAAATATTTCTTCAAGACACACAATAGCGTATCGAAGTTTCCTATCGAAATTGAACTCAGTATGGACGGTTTTTTGACAGTAATTCCGATTTATAATCTACATTTTCAACAGACTTGAAATCAGTTTTCAGATTTTAACCGCTGGCAACTGATTGCGGACCATAACGAGTGACCAAACCGTATACAATAATTCGTCGCTTTCTTTTTGAACTCGTCGGTATATCACCGGAGATAGAGATTATTGAGAAGTAAGAAATTTATCATTTATTTTGCCCGAGTATCATTAAATATACTTAAAATTGAGGAAATATTGCAATTTTTGGGACAAAAATTTCTCGACGTGCGTGGCATGTCATTCCAGCGCAAGAGGTTAAGTCAGTCTTTGATATAGTAAAATCAGAAAAGAGATTGCAATACGTGTTTCAATACTTTTTTAAAAATGCACGCAGATAGTTTTGAAACTGTACCTTTCAAATATCATATTTTTGTATTCACTAGTGTCTGGCTTCGTAACTGTTCATTCCAAAGAGAAACACAAACAAGCTTAGCACAGTAACTGTGAATATGTTCAGAATATGAGCCAGGAACTGTAACTATTGCAACCGGAATGAAGAAAGCCATAGAATAACATTCGATTGGTCATAACAGTTATCAACGAGGGAGATTTACTTCGGTTCTCTTTGTTAGTTTTCGCGAGATTTACATCAGAAAGTAACTACGATTTTTAGAATGTAGTAATGCGATTGCGAAGGATTGTTTCAGTCGATAAAACAGACATAATAGTATTTATAACAATAGTTGGTGAAACAAGTTTCTTTAGATTCTATCTTTTCATGTTGGTAAAAATTTTGAAATGCACATCCTATTATATATTATAATAATTATTTAATATTGTTACGAATTATCTTATCTGAACTATAGAAAAATGTTTATTTTTTATTCAAACTGAAACTTTCATTTTCAAAAACAATTTTTCTATCTACTCTCATTGATCATGAAAGAACAATTTTTAACAAAGTGTCATAGTTCACGTTTTAAATACTTTTTCGAGTGAAAAATTGGCAATTTGTTGAATTTAATTAATTTTGACAGTTCTTATATAAATTTTATTAGATTGTGTAATGATGCAAATAATGCGTACTATGTGGTTGATTATTTTTTCTTTTCTTTACGATCATTTTATCTTTTCTATCAAAAAATTGTATATAATATACATTTTTACGTTCTTTGAATTATATAATTATCCGTAAAAAAAACATGTTTCTTGCGTTGAAATGACCAACATTTCAATTTAAACTGAATATAGTTCATCAATCATAAATTCAATATTTTATTTCCTTACAGTAATAAATGATTTTATATTTCAAATGTTGCATATTATATTTTCAAAATCATATTTATAGTGTTCGTTTTCTTTCTATTTACAATTATAAGCAACATTTATCCACATCATATGCTCCTTTATTCAATGTGGATGGATTATGCATATTGTCCATTAAATCAAATCATTGAATTTTTATTATTCAAAAGATAATTAAATCTATTTTAAAATTGTATAAAAATATACAATCTACATATTTGTTACACTACTTAACATGTCGATTTTCTTTTAGATCTTAAAAATTGGATCTCTAGAGGCTCTAAGCAAAATTATATGCGATATCAAAGGCACAGTGGAGTTTTCCTTTTCAATGTCTAAAGATAAATTAATTAAAATCGAACTCGCCGCTTAATAAATCAATGTATGCAGAAATAAAACCGAGACGAGTTCACAAATCTTCATATATACATAAACTGACAGAATAATAATTATATTTTTCTGCAAAAACTCTTATTACACAGAAACGACTGAGAAATACAAGATAATCCAGAAATTATTCTGTTTGATTGATGGATATTCTGCAAAGAGCTCAAACTCGTTTGAGAAATGATAATTCTGTTTCCAACAAGTTTGCACAGAACTTAATTCAAATAGGCTTATCTGATCAAAAGTTTGACAAGTGACTTTAGTGTTTAAAAATCAGACATTCATTCCATGTACATCCGAATATAATAATAATATAATATGTAATAAAATTAATATAATAAACTATATAACTATACAAAATTTATTATACAATGTATAATAAACATATGTAATAAAACTAATATAATATATATTATGTCCGAATACAATAATATAATAATATATACCTTTGGTTTTCATACAATTAAAAGTTCAAAAAATTTTCGCATACTTTTGCATTAATGATTTGATTTAACTTTTCATTTAACAGGGAAAAGTAATAATGATGTTTTTTTACTCTTATTGGTTTTTTAATGCACTGTTTCACCTCTTCGCTGTTTTTTCAAATATCCTCTTGACCTTTTTTTTTTCTTTCTCTCTACATTTTCTTTTCTTTTAATAATTTTAATTTCGACGGAAAAACTTGGAGAAATATTTCAAGCTAGTTGAATGAAAGCGATTTAAACTCAAACGAGTTGAGTAATACATATCTAC